CCCCCCATTTTAAATTGAATTCATTTTCCAAAAGCATCAAATCTGTTGGAAAGAGAAGGAGCTCTCACTGGGGTATTTAGGTTTCTCAGTGAGGATAGGATACCAAGGACTGGCTTTCGATGAGAACACGTGCATGATTATCGGAAGAGAAATATGCTTCTCCAGCAGTTACTTTGAAATATCAAGTGGGTTTGCATGAGTGATGGCTAAAAACAGATAAACAAAAGCCAGACCAGATACAGAGGAATTAACAAAAGGACTGGGGAGGAGGTACCAGCGCAGGTGGCACAGAAGCGGTGACAGGGCTGACAATCCTGGCCATTGAAGTACTGTCTGTCCTCACAGGCGATGGAGCACCGGGATCCCTGCAGGCTGAAGACATAGACACAGACTGCTGTGATCAAGGCAAAGAGGTAAGGACTCCCCAATTTCATATGTAACAAATACAGCCTCCCCCAGAGACCTGTGGATTTGGCAAAGCTTCAGAGCAGGGGAAATAGCCCTCGTGCTTTCTATTTTTTCCCTCTCAGCGCTACGGTGCCTCTCTCTGCCTTATTATAATGCTGTCTGTGTCACATACACATGCTGTAAGCTCTGGGGCTAGTCCTCTGAACTGTTAGACACATCTGACAACCCAGAGGTTTTAAAAAGTATTTTATTAACAAAACAATCACATTACCTAATAATGTGCCTAACAATTCCTTTCATAATTATAAATGCAGTAGGAACACAGTAAATGAATTATAACTGAATTATAGGGCACAACCATTCCTGTCTAAACTCCCAGGAGTAGCTTTTTTGTTGTTGTTTTTAAGTGTTTCTGGTTTTAGTTTTTGTTGGCTCCCACAACAGAATTTTAATATGCTTTTGCCTCTGTTTCTTGATTTATTTTAAACTGTAATGAATAATTTAGCATATCACCTATCTATACTGCTGCTTCCCCAAACCTCTCAACTTTTCTTAGTTATATTACTATTTAGTGTTTCTAGACATACTCTGTACCACATTTTCTCTACCTAGCACACCTAGTAGTTAATGAGTTGCTAGAATGTCAAATAAGGAATCTATTTTTTTCACTCTCCTAAATTCTATCAGCTGTGGTATTTCTTATAGTCTACAGGTGGAGTCTTAAAATTCAAAATAAATTAATAGAATTTTCACTATTTAATATGCAAATATTACTCACTTAGTAACTAAATAGTGTGACTGGAGCCAGGGAGGACATGTACTCCTATGTCACCAAATAGACGATACTAGAAGATGGATATCTAAGCAACAGGGTCAAATGTTCTCTTTTCTTAAACTCTTTATATTGCTCCAACTCACATCTTCTTTGACTTTGTAAAATTAGTATAATCCATATAAAAGCACAGAGTAAAATTTATTTCAGTAAAGAAATTTGGAAAGCACAAAACCAAAGTAGATGAAAAAGAATCCCAAACAGTCCTATTAACATCTGAATCCATTTCCTCCTAGTAGTTTATGCAGAGATATTTTTCCATGCCTGCTCTTAGCCACTATTTAAAAAATTTATAGGTCTTGAGCAAAGTGGTCAACCCAGAAGCCCCTGAGGAAAATATAGGGAGCCTCAGTGAGACTGAGGACAGCATAAATGAAAGTGTTCTCCATTCATCGGTATCCTCACTGGCCAGAGAGAGGTGTAATTTAAAAAGAATATTCCTTCCACCTTGGCCGGGTGGCTCGGTTGGAGCGTCATCCATACACCAAAAGGTTGCCGGTTCGATCCCCAGTAGGTGCATGTAAGGAAGGCAACCATTTGATGTTTCTCGCGTCAATGTTTTTCTCTCTCTCCCTTCCTCTCTCTCTAAAATCATTTAAAAACACACACATATCCTTGGGTAAGGACTACAAAAAATGTTTAAAAGAATATTCCTTCCCTTTCTGTAGAGCTGGAAAAAAGGACACTGCCTCTAATAGATCCTTTTGTGGGAGGAAACAGGACCACCGCAAAACTTATCAAAGCTTGGCATTGACCCAGCAGGAGACAGGCCGGATGAATGAACTCGGGGAATGAACTCAGGGGGATGCGCAGCAGAGAGCGGTCACTGCGAACCCCGAGCTTTCTGCTTCCCAAATCAGGGGCGGCCGGGGGAATGGGCCTGGTCCTGCACGCCTGCGCTCCGTCTGTGACAAACCCGTGAGGTTAGCTCTGGGCTGTCCCACCTGCTCAGGCACTGGTGGCTCCTAGCGTGGCTAAGGAATGGGATTTTACAGTCTAAATTTAAATGAATTTCAGTCTAAATTTTACAAATTGGCACTTAGTTCAGTTACTGGCAAAATTTCAAGTAAGTGTGGAACAACTCAGCTACTTCAACTAAATTTTATAAAATCTAAATACAGATCAGAAAATTGTTTGAATTGAGATGTGGTTTAGTTTAGGTAGGGGTAAAATACAGACCAGATTTCCAAGACTTGGTACAACAACAACAAAAGGATGTAAAGTAGCTCACTAAGAGTCTTTTATACTGATTTAATAAAATATTATCATTTCAATATCTAAATAAATTTCACCTGTATCTTTTTTACTTCTTTTGATGTGGCTCTCATTTCTACTGGAGAGCACTGGTTAACTTATTCTATAAAATGTTCCCTAAGAAATATAGAAAATAATCTTAATGTTTTATTTCTCATGGACCAATTATGTGTCAGATACTGGACTAAGTGCTTTGTAAATGTTATCATGGCTAATCCGTATCATAATCCAGAGCATAGGGGTTATCATTTTATAGATGAGAAAATTGAGGCTCAGAGTGGCTAAGTGACCTGGCTAAGGTCACAGAGCTGATAAACAGCGGGGGGCGGGGCAGGTTTGAGTCCACATCTATATTCCTTCTTTTTATTATACCAATGCTCCTTCTCCAGAAAGAATTAGGCTCACAAGACCGATATTTGTCAAGACTGTCTTGGGATGAAAGGTGCTAAGCAAACTAACAGTGAATGCATTTATGAAAAGTAAAAATGTTGCAATATTACTAATGTGAAGAATTACCTGCCTGTCTCTGCTTATTTCACCTCTGATCAAAGGTGGAAAGAGAGGTACCACCAACACTTGGAAGGGATCGAGCCCAGTCCAGCTCCTCACGCAGCGCAGGATGGTTTCACCTTCTCTAATCGAGAGACGACCTAATTCATTTGAGCTGCTTATTGCTCTCTTACAGAATCTACCAACTACAGTAAGTCCTCACTTAATGCTGTCAATAGGTTCTGAGACTTTAAGCGAGACGATGTATAACAAAACCAACTTTACCATAGGCTAATTGATAGAAGCAAGTTATTCGAGGCTCTGCTGTATCTGGCTTTAGCTATAAGCAAGTCCTCCACTCAAGGAAAACGTATCTAGTGTTAAATTTGTGTGCAGATGACGGCATAATGGAACCAAGCCTGAGGTTCTTGATAAGAGAATGACTGGCTATATGGTGAGAAATAATAAAGATATGGGGATAGTTTCTGACCACCAAAGGAATCAATCGGGGATTAAATGTAACTCATTGGTATTAACTACAGTAATCCTTGAATGGCACACTGCCAGTTAAAAAGTATGAAGAAAGCCTCTCAAATGGCCATTTTTATTTACTTGTATCTGAGCCATCTTATTTCATTTATAAACCTTCCTTAGCCAAGATGGCATCCAATTTTTCACATATGATGGTGGAGATAATGCAAATAGCAGTCAGGTGTTCGGATGGGGGTGAAACCAAGGGTGATGGTGAGAGGGTATTTATATTGGGAAGCGCCCTGTGTTACTTACACAGCCCTTCACTGTCTTACCTTAACCCATCCCTACATTCTGTACAGTTGTGGGATTCAGTACATGTCTTGCAGTTTTCACTACACTTCCGGCAAAGATTTTTCTCTGTTAGAAAAAACAACAACAAGGTTATAAATCAGTTGGTCAGCTGGATTCCATAGAAGCATGTGGAGATTTCCAATGTTTGCAACGTATGCTATAGTACACATGGTCTTGAGCAGAAAATTGCAGGAAAAACCCCCTAGTCAACATTTGCTATCATTTGCTAAAGCAAATACAGGTAGGAATTGTTGCATTGGCAAATACCTTAGAGATATCTACCATTTTGCAGACAAGAGAACTACAGCCCACTTAATTCTTAGTTGAATAGTTTATTGGCTTTTTCCCTCCCAACTTCCAACAATGAAAATCCCACTAATGAAGCTGGGGCAATGCCACCATGTGAGGGTTGGGAAGCAATGCCTGTGGCTGGGGAAAGGAAAGACAGACCCCCAAGCTCACAGCATTTAAGACTACTCTGATGAACTCTACTATAAAAGAGAACTTACATTTAAGATTGCAAAGTAAGGATTATTTCTTGCATGGTCTAGAACAGTGTCTTGTATTTTATAGTGGCTGTGGAATTGATATAAATATTATATTTCAGATAACATCTGTGTACTGGAGAATAGCAATGTATTGGATTGAACAAATATACCGTGAATACTGGCTTTCCTGTTTAATACCAAACACAGGTCCCCATTAGGGAAAAAAAAGGGCAAATAAATGATTGCTCCATAGTGAAAAACGATGATTTGTTATATTAAGGCCTGTTACTTAGGTGAAATTTTCTGGAGACTTAATACCTTCTCTGAGATGCAAGTAGATTCTAACCACATGTATGTGTAGAACTGAATGAAGCTTTGTTCTATCTGCTCTTGAAATGTTGTTGGTCTTCAGGGTTCCGCAGAGAAACACTGCTTTAATGATCCCTGTAAGGAACTTCTGGAGGTCCATCTTCTTAAGTGTGAGCCACTCAGTATAAAATATAAAGTCCTTTACAACCTTCTGGTAGTTACCACATGGTCCCCCCCTTCTCCCACCTGTGTCACCAAGAATACTAGACATGGCATAGGATCTGAAGTCAGAGGACCTAGATTTGCATTCTGCTTTTAGCATTTCCTGGCAAGTTCAGGGTCTGTCTTCTTCCATTTAAAAAATGCGTATTACAATGATGCCTCCCTCTCAGCTTGTCTTGAGGCCATAATGAAATTATTCAAGGGAACCATATAAACTTTAAAGCACTGTAAAGGTGCTAGCAGTAATTATCATTAGTCATGATCCCTAAGTTGTAGGCAAATGAACATATTTAAAGAGGAAACTATAACAAAAGGCAATTACATAGGGGAGCGATGCACAGACCACTCTTATCAGCAAAGTAATTGTTTGAACAGCCTTCCTTAATTATCCTGCTGCCAGGTTCTGAAAAAAGAACGGACTCTGTTATCTTGATCCTGTTATACACCATCTAGAACAAAATTTCTTTTTCAAGGTTCAGCCTTCTGGATAGTATTTTTTCTTCTTCAAGGAATACTGCTTGCTTCTGTGGATCTCTTATTCTACCTCCCACTTCCATTTTCTCCTTCCTCCATCAAGTTGTAGCTCATGTTCCAAATCTTGGGTGGGGGGGAGAGCTAGAGGGGAATCCCTACCCATTGCTCCGAAGGTTAAGTTCTCTCAGCTTAACCCCATCTACCACACAAAAACACCTACCTGTGAGTCAAGAATTTGACTTCTTAAAAAGCAAGAGTATTCACTTCAGAATTCTTGCCTGATTTTTAAAAAACACAACCCTTGTTCCTTTACACTTGGGTTTTCTTGTCTCTTACGTTGTGCAAAAACATGACATGTTAGTGTCATCAGACACCACAGTGTGATACCCTTAAGACAAATGATCGAGAATTTAGAAATAAAGCAAAAAAAGATACCTGCGGCTCTTTTCAAGGCCATAGCAGAGCACTAACAGGTAGGCATGCCAAGGATTATTTAATTCTCTAGAGGGTGTACTTTTGTCTGTTTACTAATGACAGCTAATTAGGCCCCAACCTCTGTGCAGTACATGTTAGTTTACAGATTTTTGTTTGGTAAACTTGCAAATGATATCTGTCCATTTGAAGAAAGAACCCCTTTCCTAGTGGGCTATAGCCGATAGTCTCTGAACCCATTTGCTACCCTGCAGTTCCCTCATTAATGGGTTAAGTAAGTCTTGGGCATGTGTTCATTCTTCACTTACATGAAAGTCGTTTTTTAAACTCTGAAAAGTATATCTGGTATCACACGGCCCTGGTTCCTTTGGTTAGTGTGCTGAAAAGAGCAGGCCTGGTCGCTGTCTCCTGAAAGCCTGCTCATAAGGTCGGTATGCAAGGCGGGGAACTTGGATTTCAGGAGGGTTTCCACCATCCTAACAGATAAGAGTCTCACGATGCCCGAACTGTCTGGTTTACACCGAACCCCTGCTCTCCTCCTAGGAGTCTGGGATTTTAGTAAGGGCTGAGCAGGGGGTGCCTTCATGACCAACCCCAATAACAACCCCGGGCACTGAGTCCCTAAGGAGGTTCCCTGTGGACTACATTTCACACATGTCACAAACTGTCACTGGGGAAACTAAATGTATCCTGTGTGACTCCATTGGGAGAAAACTCCTGGAAGCTTGGGCCTGGTTTCCAATGGACTTTGTCCCATGAACCTTTCCCCTTTGCATCCTTTTGCAGTAATTAATCATAACTGAATTCTATGCACAGCTATATGATGAGTCTTGTGGGAACTCCTAGCAAGTCACTAAATCTGATACAGACTCGAGGACCCCGCCCAACACAGTTACAGGCCTTTTTTACATAAATTCTTTTCTTCAAAACAATTCTAAATTATTCTCTTAGAAAAAATAGATCCTGGCTGATATTAAGCAAGACCTAGATTTCATAGAGGAAGAGTGTTCCTCCCAAGGTCACTCTAATAAAAACCTGACATTTGTTCTCTAAAACCCAAATATTTGGAATCAACTCACTGGTGTCCTGGTAGGACCCGTCAGGGCAGTGAGTAACACAGCTGTTGGCCTCTTCATTCAGAAAGTAGCCATGTTTACAGGCCAGGCACTGGTCGCCGTGGCTGCCGAAGCAGGACTCGCAGTTGGGGGCACACTTCCTGCAGCGCTTCTTGTCGGCGTGGTAGTGGCCGGCGGGGCAGCTGGACACGCAGACCCTGCGAGGAGAGAGAAGGGCGGTGTCACCAGGGCCGGGTCCTCGAGGGGCTGGGCAAGCAGCTGTCCTCGGTCTCAAGGCCCTTTTTAAACCATGGTGGTCTGTCACCCCATCGCCAGGGGCCCCGTCCTGCTGGTGGCAGCTGCTTCCTGCAGGGTGCTGACCAGCAAAGCAGCGACACGACACCACGCCCACGAAGGCGCGGCTTGGCCCAAACCCCTTTCCGGCGCGGCTCTAGCTCTGTAAGGGGATGGCGGTTGGAAGCTGAGTCTCAGGAGGAAGCGTATGGCAGTGAGTCGAGGGGAAAATATGTGGGAAGCATGATTTTATGCAAAAAGGTCACTCATAAGGGGCTACTTCTTGTGTGTTTGTCATATGGATTGTGTGTGGGTGGTGGTTATATGCTGTTGTCTAAATTAATCTAAATATATTTAAATTTATGTTGGCTTATGGTAAACATGGAAGTGTGTTTTTTTTTAGAGGTTTAATTGAAGGACAAGGCTTTATTTATTCATTCAACAAATATTTACCAAGTACCAATTAAATGGCAGGCATTTTGCTAACAAGTCTAGGAGATAATAGAGGTGCTGAGTAGCCAAGGGCCTTTCCTTTAAGGAATTTAAATTCCAGCAAGGATGTAAACAGGAATTGGAATGTGTCTGTGTCTGTCTGGGTGACTGGAGTGTGGAGTTGCCACAAGTGAGCTCCCTAAAGTGAGTTTTCGCCTGGAGGAGGAGGGAGAGGGGAGAGGTGGCAAGTATGTGAGTCATGGCCCCTCTTGGGACAGTCACTGACCTCAGACACACATCTGCAGAGCTAGAGGCAGAAGCCAAGGGCACAGGGTCAAAGCAGGTCCGTCTTGGTGCCCAGAGATCAGTGAGGGGGAACAGGGACCAGCACCTTTGCCACATGGAGGGCTTGCACATGGGGAAATGTGGGAAAGCTTCCATTTGGCCCATGCACTGGCATTTTCATGGAGAGAAAATGCAGCTGTGGAATCAAACATCAGCAGGATGGAAAAGTATGGAGGGGAAGACCAGGCATGTGCGTAGCTCGTTCCTCCCCACCATCCTACCAAATGTGAGAAAAGACATTTGCAGGTTTCATAGCATGTATCGATTATGTTCTGGTGAGTCAGCCGATTCCTGGTGACTCTGTAAATGTGTGAAGTCTACAATGTCCTGTCCTCAGCAGCCCTGCTCAGCTCCCGTAGACTCCTGGCTATGGCTTCTTTTATGGAGTCCATCCATCTCATATTTGGTCTTCCTCTTTTCCTGCTGCCTTCTGTTTTTCCAGCATCATTGTCTTTTCCCAAGAACCCTGCCTTCTCACAATGTGCCCAAAGTAGGACAGCTTCAGTTTTGACATTTTGCCTCCAGCAATGTTTCAGGCTTAATTTGCTCAAGGGCCCATTGTATGTCTTTCTGGTGGTTCAGGGTATCTGGGAGCTCTCCCCCCAACATCATATTTCACATAAATCAATTCCTTTAGGTACATTTTGTAATTCAGTGTTGGTTTCACATTTTGAATTACACAAGGAGGCAGTGGGCTTGTGCAGCAGCACATTTCCTGTGCTTTTAGGTCCTGCTGGGGGAACAGGACCTAATGCCTGGCCCACAGTGATGCTGGGGGAACTCCGGGAATACCCGGGATGCTGCAGGCTTGTGACTTGGCCTCTCTTACCTCGTGTTGTTTTTCAGCTTGTAGTAGTAGTGCAAACAGTCATTGCAGTGGTCTGGTCCTGGCCCATCACAGCCGACTTCACTGCACTCAGGGTCGCAGGGACCTTTCCAGAAGAAATTAGAACAACACTTAGAAAAATGATTTTAAGTAGGTTGGCTTTACCTTGAGTTTGGTATAAAATAAGATTTTTCTTTTCTTATGCAGTGAGAGTTTAAGGTGGAGGAATAATGCTCAATGTGGCTGTAAGCTCAGAGATGAACTCTTGACTTTTTTTGGGAAAACCTCAATTACTTAAGTATCAAGAATGTAAATCCTAGTCATGGACTGGTCTTCAAAGCACATATGGCTGCCTTGTGGGAGAAAACAAATATTTCAGGATTCAAATGGACAATGTCACTGTAGTAAATGCAAAAAACTGACCACAATTAAACATGCATAATGATAAATATGTAGGATTTATAGAAAAAAAAGAGAGAAGCTAAGCTGTTGACAGAAAAGGAAAAAAAAAAAAGGTTATTCTTCAGTGCTTGGACCAGATTGCCTGTCTTTTCCAAGGTTATTAAAGCCACTGAATACCTCTGAGATACTAAGCTAGCAAGAAAAAGCGTTATGGCATCTGGCACAAGCTTATCAACATCTAGTCTTACAAAGCAGGTACTTTAGGCACAGATAATAGATTTAAAATTGCATCCTACCCACAGGCCAATGGGCAACCCAACAAAAGAAAACTACACATAAATTTTAAAAATGTGATGAAACTTAAAGAATTCCAGACCTGGGATGAAGGTTTCTAATATCTCGTTATGTATTCGTTGGTACAGAACGAGAGAATGCATAGTCAGAAAAACATTTCAGAAAGATGGAACTATTTGGTGACTGATGAAAAGGTTTCTAATGACGGGGGTAGTTATAGACATTTTGCTCAATTGAACACACCCGCAACCTTATATATATTTTTACTGATTTCAGAAAGAAAGAGAGGGAGATAGAAACATCAGTGATGAGAGAGGGTCATTGATCAGCTGCCTCCTGCACGCCCCCTAGTGGGGACAGAGCGGTGACCTCCTGGGCTAACCTGCACCCTTTTGGGGTGCAGGATGACACTAACCAACTGAGCACCTGGCCAGGGCTCCATCGGGATTTTTAAAGGGGTACTTAGGAATTTCTATGAAAACAAGCAGCAGATATTCAACAGATAATAAATATATATCATGAAATGAAAAAGTGTGGGTGCTACCGGTCTAAGAATTATTAGATTGATAAACCCAAAAGTGTGGTACCAGAAGGGACCCTGGCATAAGAACTTAACAATATTGTTATAAAGGAAAGATCCTAAACTATTAAAAAAGGATGGTAACACAGCCAATGATATTCGTCAGCTTTGAAAAAACAGAACTTCATTTCACACTATATATCATAAACCAAAGTAAGTTCCAGGTGAATTAATGGCTAAATGGAAAAATCAGAGATTACAAAAAAATGCAGGTGAATATTTAGCTGATTTTAAAGGATAAAACTTCTTAAAAAAAAAAAATCACAAACATCTGAAAATGTAAACCCTATCCTTCAATTTTCTTTTAAAACACAACACAAAACAAAAACCAAATTTCAGAGAGAAGTGATCATTGAGAAAATGTTTTCAGCAAATGAGAGACAGCATGAGAGGCAATAACATACAAAGAGTTCTTATAAATAAGGAAATTGCTGCCACTTTGAATAGAATGGGTAAAAGATATTTGTATTTAATTCAGAGAAGAACTACAGTTAAATCCTCAATGTCGTTGATAGATTCTTGGAACTGAAGCAAAATGATGTATAAGGAAACCAATTTTACCACAGGCTAGTTGATATAAACAAGAGTTAAGTTCCTATAGCATCTCACCAATGTTATATAATGAATGAAACAATGTTATTTGAGGACCTGCTGTACAGACAAAAAAATGTTTAGATTTACTAGCAGTCAAAGCTATAAAAATTTGAAAGTATTCTTTTTTCACTTTTTCTGTCTACTCAATTTTGGCAGGAATGCGTGCAATAAACACTCACACAGCTGGTCACAGTGTAGATTGGTACATCTTTGTCTGGAAAGCAATGTGACAAAACTTATCTAAGCCCTAAAACTGGTTAATCCCTTTGATGCAGTAATTCTCAGAACAGAACCTTATTCTAAAAAATTCAAGATATGGACAAAGACTGATAATGATATTCATTCAAACCTTGTTTAAACTCATGTAAAACTCTAAGCAAGCTACACATCCCAGATTATGGATTAAATATATTACAGTCACAGGATAGACAGTTATACTGTCTTTTAAATATGTGTCCTAAGGATATTTGACAACAGGGAAATATGCTCTTAATATTTTAAGGACAAAAAGGATATGAAAATGGTATATAGAATGTAGTTTAGCTTTGAGGAAAAAACATGGATATTTGAATATATACATATAAATATTTGGGGGTAGAAAAGATGAAGAAAATACAGGGTGTCCCCCCAACATGTGCACACACTGTAAGAGCTGATAGCTTAATTTTGAAAATGAAATGCATTTTAATAAACACTGCCTTCCTAATTATTCAAAGTGTGTGTATACCTTTCTTGGGGACACCCTATATATCAGAATATGGGTGGCAGTGTATCTCCGCACGGTGGGATGATGCATGAGATTCCCTCCTGAGCCCATGTCCCCGTCCGAAGCCAGCTCACCTGCATAATCCTCTGTACCATAGTCCTCGGTGGGGTCCTCCACTCGGCTGTAGCGGACACGCTCCACTTTAGGAAACTCGTTGGTTGGTGAGTAGGGCTGCACAGAGGTGCCGTAGAGCACCAGAGACCACTCTTTCAGTTTACCTGGGAAACAATGAAACCACAGCTTGAGCGGATATTGTCTCTTTAGCCTTATACTTTAACTCCTTTTCACCTAAGAAAAAGCATCAATAGAATTGTGGGAAACAGATTCACATGAATCATTACAACAGATACAGGGCTAGAAATACACATTTACCACCGTCTGCAGAATTTACTATTTAATAATTCACACACTATATTTACTGAGCACCAACTACAGGACAGGACTTGATTTAAAGAAACAAACACAGCCAGATTCCTGGACTGACTTTCAAATTGCAGATATCTGAAAAAATCCCAGCCCAGCTGGGCGTGGCTCAGAGGTTGAGCGTGAACCTAGGATCCAGGCGATCAGGGTTCGATTCCCGGTCAGGGCACATGCCCGGGTTGCGGGCTGCAGCCAGTCAATGACTCTCTCATCATTGATGTTTCTCTCTCTCTCCCATCCTCTCTCTGAAATCAATAAAGATATATTTAAAAGGATCCCAGAATTTTACAGAGAGCTTTGTTTTTCTAGGTATTAAGAGTCTTATTTGAATTTAAAAATTTTTAGGTGTTATCTGACTTGTTTATCAATAAGACAAAAACTACTTTGTTCCACATGATTCCTGAAGCAGTCGTTCAATCTTAAGAACACATCACTATTTACATTACCCTATAGACCTGATAGCCACTAGATACATGTGGCTATTTAAATGAACTAAAATAAAAACATTCAGTTCCTCAGTCACACTACATTTCAAATGCTCCATAGCCATAGGTAGCTATAATAATAGAGGCCACAATAATGCACAGCACAGATAGAGAACACTTCCAACACTGCAGGCGTTCTACTGAGCAGGTGCAACACAACATTTTCTGGTCAGGGGTGCCTTAAGACATGAGATAAATGCTTAACCTCATTTGGATGGTATGCTCACTGCTTTGGTTTAGTCCATACTTATTCATTTATTTCTTAGATTTATAAAATTAAAGTCTTCAATGCAAGAAAAAAATCCCCCCCCCAAAAAAAACAAAAAACCCCCAGGTCATTAAGCTTAATAAGATTCACATTAAAGAATCAACCATAAGCAGAAGTGATTATTAAAAAAACATTAAAAAAACAAATATGCTGATAGAAATAAATCACTCCCTTAGAACTCTCCCCCCCTCCAGTGGCCTAATACAGAGAATCCAGGAGTGGTTCAGGGCAAGGGCTCTGCCACAGTAAGACAGTGGTGAACTTCAGGTGCCACCTAATTCATCTATTAGGATCTACATCACCATCTAATTGATGCTTATCATTTCTAAGTGCTTGCTTACTGTGTGCTAAGTTTTATCCCATTTTATCCCATTGATTGTCCAAAACAACTGAGAGGTAGCTATTTGTATTCTCAAAATAGTTGATATAAACAGTGATGAGGAAACTGAGGTACAGAGGTTGATAACTTTCCCAAGGGCAGTGAGAGGACAGACTGGTATTGAAACCCATCTGGGGTTTCCAGTTTAAGAGGCCATGTAGGAAGATCCTGAACCACCTCCTCCCACAGACACACCAAGGTGACAGCTACATACGGAGCAATTTCCTCTGAGAGAAACGCCAAAACTAGCTGAGTGGCTCCTACACATTAGTCAAACAAGAAAAAAACCCATATCCAGGTCGGTAGGAGAGGATGAGACACAATCTCACCATAAACTCACCCCTCGTGGGGTGAGAAAATCTGGAGAGAACTCAAGACCCCAAGCTTCTCCCTGAGGAACAACAGGTTTAAATCTCACATTGGGCATCCCTACCTTTTTCCCCCTAATCCTCACCTGAGGATATTTTTTCCATTACTTTTCAGGGGGAGGGGAGAGATACACATTGATTGGTTGCCTCCCGCTCAAGAGCTGGCCAGGGCCAGGGATCGAGCCTACAACCAAGGTACGTTATGTGCCTTTGGGTGGAATCGAACCCGGGACCCTTCAGTCTTCAGGCTGAAGCTCTAACCAGTGAGCCAAACCAGCTAGGGCAGGGAATCCCAACTTTTAAGGCCAGCATCTGGGAGATGAGCCCCGCAAAACATCTGGCTTTGAGAGCCAATGGGCTCATGTATACGAGTCCCACAGGTTATAACAAACTGAGAAGCAGTTCTTAAAGGGATCCAGCAGACTCACCCACCCCAGAGGCAAGAGACTGAAAAGCACCTAGACTTCCTGTGAAGCAGGCTTATTTGCTCATCTTAAAGCAGCTGCCTGGGGGGCAGGCATCTAATTTAACAGCATCTAGAGGCCAACTAAAATAGTCTCTGAAGCTGGAGGTCAGCAGGCACCTTCTTTGTGCTCTGTCTCTGCTGTGCTCCTGTTCACTGGTATCTTCAAGAAAGGAGCTTGTACTCTTGTCTGATACTGAAATTTTTGTAGCTGCCATCCATGGGACACCTCTAGGCTGCTTGGCTCTAGTGGACAGCAGGGCTTATACTTGCATGTCCCTAGGACTGTAAACATAATTGACAAGCCTTTAGTTAGCATCAACAAGGAGAAATGAGAGAGAAATCAAATAAAATCAGAAATGAATCACTGATACCACGAAGATACAAAGGCTCACGAAAGACTATGAACATATTAGACAACATAAAAGAAATGGATAAATTCCTAGAAGCACACACAATACCATGACTGAATCATTAAGATACAGAAAGTCTGACTGACCAATTACCGGTAAAGAGATTGAATCAGTAACCAAAAACCACCCAACAAACAAAAGTCCAGGACCAGAAGGCTTCACTGAACTCTATCAAATATTTAAAGAAAAAATAATACCAATCTTTTCAAGCTCTTCCAAAAAAATAGAAAAGGAGGGGACACCTCAAAGCTCATTTTATGAGGCCAGCATCACTCTGATACCAAAAGCAGACAAGGGCGATACAAGAAGATAACAGGCCAACATTCCCGATAAACACAGATGCAAAAGTCCTCAACAAAATTATTAGCAAATTGAATTCAACAACATATTAAAAAGATCATACACCATGATCAAGTGGGATTTATTCCAGGGATGCAAGAATGGCACAACATCTGCATGTCAATCAATGTGATCTACCACCTTAACAAAATGAAAGATAAAATCCTATGATTATCTCAGTAGATGCAGAAAAAGCATTTGACAAAATTCAACATCCACTTTTGAGAAAAATGCTCAATAAAGTAGAGATAGAGGAACTGTACCTCAACGTCATAAAGGCCACATGACAGCTAACATATTCAATGGTGAAAAACAAAGCTTTTCCTTTACAATCAGGAACAAAACAAAGATGTCCACTCTTGTCACTTTGAGTCAACATAGAATTGGAAGTCCTAGCCAGAGCAATTAGTCAGGGAAAAATGATATCCAACTCAAAAAGGGAAAAATAAAACTCACTATTTGCAGATGACATGATATATAATGTTTAGCATGGTGACTAAGTTCATAATACTGTATTTCAAATTTGAAAGTTGCTAAGAGTAAATTTAAAAAATTCTTATTACATGAAAAAATAATTATAACTGTGAAGTGATGGATGTTAACTAGACTTGTTTTGGTGACTGTTTCACACTATACAAATCATGAATCATCATGTTGTTCATCTGAAACTAATACGTTATATGTCAATTACATCTCAATTAAAAATACAATTTGAGTCCAAGTCCTGTGTTTATAAACCATTATATATAATACTGGCTTCCTGTTCATTTCTGGAGTTTAGGAACCTGATGTGTGAAATTGCACATACATTAGTCTGTGCCGCACTGTTTTCTGACATCTGCACTGGGTCAGCACATTCGTGTACATGTGGTTTGCCTTCTGCCAGCTTTTCTTTGGACTCACTTGTTAGTGAATATTTTCATAATCAGGGTGCTATTTGATCTTGGAATTCCAAGTGGTATGCATTAAGTAGAAATGAATGATGGCCTGAAATTGAGGACCTATCTGACTGCCTGAAGGTAGCAATGCAAAAGAGAACCCCTTTCCCTAAAGCACCTCTCAAGTGCACAAATGGAGCATGTAACACAAGGACATTATAGGAAATCCAACCCATCAGTCACCCTAAAACTTGGTTCATTTAATTTACAATTACTTTTGATCTGAAAATTTACCCTCACAAGTACTTTGAAGAGGGCTGCCCTTTGTGCCATTTCTGAAGTACTCCCCAAGTCCACCAAGGAGATCCTTGCTGGGCAGTCCATCTCTTTATTTTTCACTTACTATGTGATTTTATTTCCTTAGAACCCCTGCAACAATTCACATCAAATACAGCCATATTTGCACCATCACTTTTTGCTTACCTACTGTTTTTTCCACTTCTAAATTCTATAGATTTTGCAATTGATACTGCAACTTTGTGTTAAGCAATAGCTGTGTAAATACAGAATGAGAAAAAAATCCATTCTACTTGCTAACATAAATGGAATCTACCCAAGACAGAAAACCCAAGATAGGTTTAATGTGCAACAAAACAAAAAACCTCCTCCCCAAATCTTTAATATGTACTTTAATATACGAATGGAAACAAACAATAAGTATAAACTCAATTTGGAGCCAGGAATCACTATATTTGGGAATGATGCTACCACTTAATTGGGCTAGAAAACTCTACATCTCCAACTGAATACCTAGTAGCTTAATAAAAATTCCCTTATTAATTAGAGAGAGACCTTCCATAAGACTGTACATCACAGAAACGATAGAACTGTCTGCACACACACACACACACACACACACACACACACACACACGAAAGTCCCTTTTCAAAGTTGTGGCTAATCCTGAACCAAAAGGTTGGCTGGGGGAAGAATACCCAAAGATCATGTGTTTCTATTAGAGCTTCCTGACCCCGAGGCCAGTAATAGCATTCGAGTGTCTCTCTTCTGGCATAAAAGAACATCTCTAAAGTGATTGGAGGTGACTAGGGTTAAACGTGAACATTTAAATAGTATAAGGAGCAGCCAATGCTATGAACCAGACAATCTAGGTTTTCTGGGCCAGTGCAGAGGGCTTTCAACACGGGGAATCAGAGTAAATTGCATAGACTCTGAACTCCTTGAGGGCAGAGAGATTTATATTCAGAGCCCCTGACCCTCGCTCACAAATGTCAGGTCAATCAGCAGCATGCCCCAGGGCAGTTCCCTGTGCAGGGAGGGGAGGAGCATTTCATCACTGACATTCTTGAGAGTTGCTGGCTCATGGTGATAATAATGAGCAGTCACTGTTAGTTTTATAACTGGCTCCAATTCTCAACAGAGAATGCACCCCCTGTGTCCCCACCCTAGGCTGCACCCTGTCGCCCCACCATGACCCTTGGTACACAACTGCCACGTTTTGACAGTGTTTATTTCTTTGGGATCTCTGGGCACAGAAAAGCCCTGTAGTGACCCCTGCTGATGGATCCCTGGGAGCTGCACTTTGGCTAGGGCAGCGCAGCCCAGTCACCTCCAAGGCAGGGGCAATGAGATCGGCCTCAAGAGAGGAGGGGA